AAAAGATATTCAAAATCATAATAATATTTCACAATTTCACTGCATTTCTCATCCAATAAATGCAGCCGTGGTAAGCAGAAGCAGCTTCTTTTTTCAAACAGCGGTTCGCAAACTGTTTTCATCAAGTACCACCTCAGAAAATAATTGTCTCTCCAAGTACCACCATAATGACTAGTATTGAAGTACATAGTAGGTCAGAATTAAGCAGCTACAACTTTGCACAGTTCAAAATAAAGGCAGATTAATTCTTCATATTAAGATTATTTATCATTGTCAGCCACTTTAAATACTATAAATAGTTTGAACATTAACACTGCACTGTGCTTACAGGTAAAAAAAATCTAATAAAAGGTTGTTTAAATTCAAACGTGCTTTTAACAGTTAATTAAAAATGGCACTTTTTAAAAAAAGTAAAAAGAAAACTGCCTTACTTAAAATGTAAAGTATCATCATATAGTAGCGTATTCACAGCATTATTCTACCAAAAATCGAGTTTTTATTTCTGGCTATTTGCTGTATTTTCTGAATATTGGAATTATGAGAACAATAAAAAAAATAATCTTATCTGTAAAATGCTATGACCTTAAAATGTAAAAACAAAATTACAGCTTTATCTATTGTTACTTACTTTGTCAGTGAAGTCACGCAGAAGTGAAAGATTCCCATGCACCCCTTCTGCTCCCTCAGCTATTTCATTTTCTTTCTCATCCTACAGGACAAAGCAATCACTTTTAACAGCATAACTATGAAAAAAGTAGATTGTTTTAACTGCCCAATAAATGAACTTTTGATATATTGAGATATATATAATTTTCTTGATCAATATGAGATGTACTCTATGTACTGTGTCAGATCATATTGGTTGTCTAATCACCTTCTTTGTACTGCTCGTCCGCTTCTGAAGCTCTTCTTGGTAGAAATCATAGATCTCCCACTGAGAAAGAGCAAACTAACATTTATCTAATTTGCTGCAGATAGTAATTTAAAACTCTTCAAAGGGTTTGTTCACACGAAAAATTAAATTCTGTTATTAATTAGTTCCCTATAATGTTGTTAAAATCCCATGAGAGCTTCGTTAATCTGCTGAACACAAACGAAGATATTTTTGATAAACTCTAAGAGCTCCTTTATCCTCCATAGACAGCAACTCTCCAGAGATGTTGAAAGTTCAGAAAAGAAACCAAAAACTTTGTTGAACTGTAATCATTAAACACCAATAAAACTGTAAAAATTACTATTGCCTCAGGTCAGGATGCACATTTACTACGAGAGATGTGAGTATTGTCATTAGAGTCAGCGTATACCACGTAATAGTCATATTACCCATAGTAAACAAGCACATGAAATGCTTTGACAACGTTTGTTGGACTTCTTGACACTGTTGCTGTCTATGGAGGATGAAAGCGCTCTTTAATTTTGTAAATCTTAATTTAATATACTTGTGTTCCAAAGATGGATGAAGGTCTCAGAAGATTGGAATGACATGAAGGGGACGGGAGTAGTTAATAACGGAAATTAATTTTTTGGTGAACTAACCCTTTAAATTAATTTAGCAAATAAAAAGATAATTTCTCACCTGATTGGCTGTAGCTGAATAGTTTACTAAAAGAGGTTGAGACTCAGTTTGACACGCCACTTCCTACAAAAACATAATTTCAGAATTTCATGTTTTTGTGGCACAAATCTTCTTCTAAGCCCATCACCTTACTGGCTTAGTTGTACATATATAACAGATGAAAGTCAGATGAATGTTTCCTTAAGGCAGTCTCACTCTTGGAGGGTTTATGGTTGTCTGAGTGGCTGTGGTGATGCAGCTGAAGAGGGTTTTGCTTTTCCTGCCAACTTCTTTTTCTGCACACAGTATCTGACCTTCCTCTGAATCTTTGTGGACCAGACTGCCCTCTATTTCAATATCAGGCTCATCTGCAACTGGCTTAAAACAGCATTCCTGAGCAGATTTTAGTGATTCATCAGATGATTTAAATTATCAAAATAAAGGAACAATTGATATTGTGATATTGTAGTAATTTACCTTAAAACTGAATCTCATAAGACTACTGGTTGCTGCATTTAGTCGAGCTCTTCTTAGTACGACTGTCTTTTCACTCAAATTCTTTTAAACACAAAAACATAAAATATATACAAACAATCCAACATAACTATAAGACATTATGTATGCATAGTCAGTCCACAGGTTCGCTCCAGGTTTACGCACAGATTCATTCTGCGGCTGTTTCTCCTCCTCAAAACAAAACAGACAAAAACAAAACAAGACATTTTAAAAGTACATTTATAGAGATACATAACAACATTCATTTCTGACTAAAGAGAATACAAAAGCTATGTATATTTTTGAATCTCCATTTATTTCAAGTATGGTAGGTGTCTTCATTTTAAGAACAAATAGTGAAATAACATGTTTGAAAAGATCTAACACAAAAGTTTCAACGCACACAAAATTATTAATAGCTTTCTGATAATTATGGAAACTATCTTTCTATAAGCTAAAATATCTTAATTCAGTGGTTCTCAAACTGTGGTACGTGTACCACTAGTGGTACACAGGCTTCCTTCTAGTGGTACTCGGAGGAATTAAATACGTCATGTACATGCTACACACATTAATTTTTTTTTCAAAAATTATCTATATAATATGCTATATATGACATATAGCCTATATTTCTGAGGTAATCTGCCATGTTTTTTAAGTGTGCAGAGGTGTAGCTGCTTTACTGGGTCTACTACGCTATTGTACTTCAATACTGCTCATTTTGGTGGTACTTGGAGAGACTATTTTTTTTCTGAGGTGGTACTTAAGGAAAAAAGTTTGAGAACCACTGTCTTAATTTAATAACAATTGATAACGTTAATTTACAGTAAACAGACCCACAGTTGACACATTTTCATTTTTTGAACAACTCTACATGAACAAATAACGACTTAAACATATCGTCCCCAGTGGTTAACAATGGGCTAAAATATCGAACAATATTGCACTAATATTAGATTTTCAGTAAGTTAACAAAAACAGAACCAAAATTAGACACGAGCTTCTAAGTAAAACTTCTGGTAGCCTAGCCTAAATTCAGCTTTTAATTCCGTGAAACATTTAAAGAAAATAAACAGTAAGTAAATAAGTAAATAGTAATTCTGAGTAAATAATTTTTAAGGCAAAGCATAATAGCAATAAGCTAACGTTAGCCTAATTCATCGCATTGCTCCCGTTCAAAAACGCTTGATAACTTGAGCTTAATAAAATACAGACAGTTCTATACGAAATATTTTTCACACATATTAATCTATAATAACTTACAGACATTTTTCTTATTGGTTATTTCGGTTCTTATCTGTTGTTAGGACGGAGGGTTTTGAAACGGAAAACGCACTTAAAATGTCTCCTCTCTCTGACACTGCTAACGGTCATTCACGAGTGTTTATTGTCATGGCAACAAAATGTTATAACAATCAATCAAACGCATTTGTTGGGCACTGCTTCACCAAGATTACCGGGTAGTATGAATCAAGGTAACCTTAGGCTTTTCCTGCGATACGAAAAGATAATGGAAGTTTTAACACATTTCTTAAAGACCGCTACACTCTTAAAAACAGGTTATCAATCAATTTTAGATGAAGAGTCAAAAGTTTCTAGATTATGTTCTTCACACTAGGAAAACATTGTTCGCCAATTTTTTAATTAGTTAGGTTCTTTTGAGAACCAAAATGAGCATGACTGGGGTTTTGGGGCTGCATCTTCAAAATAACATAAAATCATCATACCTAGAGAAAATGAGCAAAAAGCTTTGAAATGGACCGTAAGGGGTTGTCCAACTTGTCTCTGACAATTGGGGCGTATTTAATGAGTGAGGTACACAGCCTACAATAAATACCTAGAAGTTTCTGTAAATTAATAATGACATTTTCTAGCATATTTTATAAGATAAAGGTCGAAGAAATATAAATTTACCTTAATTAGTACATCTGTGGTGACGCAGTGGAACAGTGGGTAGCCCTCTCACCTCACAGCAAGAAGGTCGCTGGTTCGAGCCTCGGCTGAGTCAGTTGGCATTTCTCTGCGATGTTTGCACATAGAACGTTCCATGTTTACGTGGGTATCCTCCGGGTGATCCGGTTTCCCCCACAAGACATGCGGTATAGGTGAATTCGTTAAGCTAAATTGTCCGAAGTGACAATTCAGTTTCCCAGTGATGGAGATTCAAAGGGCATCTGCTGCGTAAAACATATGCTGGATAAGTTGGCGGTTCATTCCGCTCTAGCGACCCCATATTAATAAAAGGACAAGTCAAAAATAAAATATATGAATGAATGAATGAATAGTACATCTGTGCAAATGTGTCCCCCTCACCCCTAATCTTCTAGATCAGTCCATCAATCAAATCAGATGAAAATTTAGTGTTAAAAACAAATCGTTTATTCATTATTTCTAGTTGGGAATTCATTTTTAGCAAACAAATCTTTTAAAATTTAGAGATTGTGTTAAGATAAACATGTGAAAGCAAGTGATAAGACAGCTAAGTAAATAAATAAATAAATACAAAGTGTACATATCACTGTAGGACTTCCAGGTCTCGTGGCTTGAATTGTTTGGGGCCCCAAATGACTAAATCCAGTAAAGGTCCTGGAGGGCCGGTGTCTTGGAGAGTTTAGCTCCAACCCAAATCAAACACACCTGAACGAGGTCATCAAGTTCTTACTAAATATACTAGCATGTGCGTTGAAGCAAGTTGGAGCCAATTTCAGCAGGACACCGACCCTACAGGATCATGCTTGGACACCCCTGGACCAGATAATTTGAGGGATCCTGCATTTCTTTATGGAAGAATGGCCTCTTTCCAAATTTTCCCAAACTCGTCAGGCATTAAAGAAAAGTCTGAGCTTTTATCTTGGAAAATGACTACTGAATTAAGGGGTACCAATAATTGTCTCCAACATGTATCGAATAAAAACTATTTTTCTAAATGCACGGATGATGTTGCACTGACACAGGTAAAAAAATCTTTATTGAGTCACAGGTCATGTCCAAAGTGACTAAATGCAATACAGATACAATTCCTCATGCGGCCCTTGTCATCACTGCAGTGCACTGGAAATCCAACCAAAAACAAAAGACCAGAGTCCAAATGCAGAAGATGGGTTTATGCCAAACCATCATCCACATCAAGCAGTAAAAACAAAACACGCTCGAAGGACTATCAGCTACTTGAGACGGTTAATAAGACCACAGAACAGAGGTAAACGTACTGAACAGAGAAGCTGCAAGTATGTACAAAGTGTGTCAGGTACAGAAAACATCTCAAGGCTCTAAATACATCGAGACTGCTTTTGGTCACAAGATATAGGATTATGGCATATTCAGTTCTCAGCAACACTCCTCCTTGCATAAGTTAATTAAAACTGGATATTTCCTTTATCATATTGTTCAGTAATATTTTTTTTCTTCCATTAAACCAATATTTTCACTGAACGCTCTGACCGAACTGCTACTCCATCCCGATGTATTGTACAGTTTTATTTTTCAAAAGCACCAAAACTTATATAAACAGGTGTTACAGGTTGATACAAGTGTAGCAATTAAGTGTACTTTTGGCATACATTATGTGTGTATCTGCGTAAAGCCTTCATAACGAAAGAGTAGTTTTATTGTTAGCACTGCCTAGACCACATTGAGCCACTGAAAGCCACTGAAAACCATAAACAACTAGCTTAGCAACTATTACACAAATGAATGGTTTTAATTGCTGCTTTGTCATCTGCAATTGTGCGCTGTACAGAAATGAACATGAAATAGTGAATGTTCAAAACATTTAGATAACATTTCATACACGGGAGGTTTGATTTGACATCAGTACACGTCAAGGTAAGTCTTTGAGGCGTTCACAGCAGTTTGTGAGACATGTTTTCAGCCAAATAATGGAGTGAAGCTGCAAATCGCTCCTAGAAATGCAGGCATTGAAATGTAATACTTCAAACATTTCTGTTAAAATGGCCACTTAAAATGTGCCCAAGGCGTTCTGCTGGCTTCAGAAAGTGTGCAAACAACTGATAGAGACACAAGTGTCTTTCTACAAAACTTACAGAAATAAAAAGACACGAACACACTTTTTGTCCTAATAGGTTTGTGGAGATTAAAACAAAGCTGCCTAAATTTACAGACTGGTTTAATGTTTTGCTGGACGCTTAAACTGGTGAAAAAGCTGGCGGCAAGGCAGAGAGAAAGTGATAGTTTTAGTGCACGGAGAGGGCACCGTGTTAGGACAGGGTGTGTTGGGGAAGGGCGCTTTCATCAGTCTTCTTGCCTAGCATGACTTCTCAAATGAAAAACGAGTCTTTCCTCCCCCCCCCCCCCACCAAATGAATAGTACAAAATTAAAAAAAGAACAAAATATTAAAGTAAATTACGCTTCAGGCTTAGCAGTCGCTTTTCCAAAGTTTGATGGTTTTGTCGTTTTCTAGTGCTGCTGATGCAATGATGTTTTCTGTGGGGTGACAAGCGGTTGAGATCACCACATCTGCAAACAACAAAACATACCCATTAATATATATATACAGCTGTGAAAAAACATCACTCGAAAATTTCTCAATTTATTGGATTTTTATTGGATATATAATTGAAATCTAATAAATCTACATAAGCAAAATAAGCACTTAGACCTAATCCTATTTTTGTACCCCTTCCCCTTGGCCCCCTGAAATAAAGTGTGAAGAGAAAGGGCTTCAAAATTTACCCCTAAGAAATGGGACGGCACTACAGCACCTGTACACATCATCATATGTCGTCGCGATCTCATGCTTCAATCGTGACTGCTGTAATGATTCTAGTTGCTTTATTTTTTTGGTATTTATCTTCAGGAAATCACTGAAGGTATATATTATGTTATCATAACGATCTAATGTGGCAATAAAATCGTAACAGTACTGTGCATTTACACCCTGGCCATGTTCATCAATGTAAACACACCAAAAACAACATTAACATTATAGCAGACACTGTAAAACGGTCATTCCTAGCCACTAGACTCTTCTGACAGGGTATTCGAGTGTCAGAATGTTGTGGGACTGCTATACAGGAGTTATTATAGATAGCGAAATTTAGCGTTTTTTATTTTAGCTTTTAAAAAAAAGAGAGAGAAAAAAAAAAACGCAGTTATGAATATATTAAAACCTGTGCTTGTTTGTTGTAAAAGTTAATAATAACGACAATAAATTACTAATACTAATTTGTGGATCTCTTTACTTCCGGGTGCAGCTATGCTGCCGTTGTGGCTGGTGTATTCTGGGAAATTTTCTTCCCCTTAGTTTCGAGTTTGGTCCTAAAAAAAATTTCCATTCGAAGGGGCATCTACCCCTTGCCCTTATCCCTATGCCTTCAAGCTAAAGAGACTTGAGTAATAGAAAGGGCTAAACGGTAGAATTGGACCTTAAAGTTAAAGGTTCATGAAACACCAAAACACATTTTTTGTTATGTTGACAGTCATATATGTGTTCTAATAAACACTATAGACACATATTTCACAAAAAAAAGTGATGGTTGTTTTTGCTTTATTTCAAGCAAATTTGTTTTCTCCGATTTGAAACTAATTTTTGAAGCTACGTCATGGCGATTAGATCCTTATGTGTAATCCAGCATGGAGAGTGGATGTCTGTACTGGCAAATACATCCGAGTCCGAATGTGCAGCATTAATTCATGAGAAAGACTTGGTTCAAACCAATTAGCGCGCTCTATTGTGAATGAGGTGCAACTTAATTAATATGCACAAAGCTTCGAAGGCTGTTTTTACCTGTTAGAATGTTCAGACAGCAGAGAGACACCACGTTGTGTTGCCAAAAAAATGGAAAAACAAGAATTGTTTGGAGACATGGGTTGTCAGTGCTTTTTTTATAAATGTGCTGCAACAAAGGTTTTGTTTTAATTTCGTGCTATGAGAGTGCAGCTGGACTCACTTGTGGTTTACAATTCATGCGACAGAAATATATTTGTAAGGAACATTTTTTACCTGAAAGCTTTTCGCATAAGGAAATGGGGAAATCTGGATTTGCCACTTGTATCCTTTTAAAAAAGATGCGGCTCCAGTTGGTGTTGATTGTCTTGTCTCTACAGATTTGTACTCTTTCGGTTTTTAGAGACATACCTTAGTCAAAATGATTTAGTTACTAAGTTTACAGTTAGTTAATATCAATAGAATATTACAGACTGAAAGATCCGATGTAAATGCTGCTCTCCGAATGTAAACACCACAATCAAACTATTACCGTCATATAGAATTTTTGCAACCTTTTGCGACAGGATAGCAAGCGCTGATTTTCACAGAGGCAAAACAAAAATAGACGCAGGGGAGAAAGACAGTGACTATGTTTACATGGACATCAGTAATCAAATTATTAGCCAAATTAATAATTTTCAACTTTAACTGCAGTTTGGCAATTTTACTTTCATTCAGGAACATTTCATGCATGCCTCCTGTGACAAATACTGGATGCAAGGAACTGCTGGAAAAGTGTAATTTTAAATGGAATGTTATCTAGTGAATTTGACACATGAATGACGCAAGTAAACTCAAATATTCACGCACCATTTATTCGCTCATGCCGCATCTGGTGTGAACTAGGGTTGTGCGATTAATCTAAACTGAATCGCTATTTTAAACGTTACAATTAGCTAAGTCGCAAGAAGCTGCGATATGAAATATATATGTATTATCTAATTTCCCCCGCCCAGAACTTGACTACTACTTCACAATTAGATATTTTCCCCAAATCGCACACAGCATGGTGAACACAGTGTGAGCACAGCATTATAGCAATCCGGCAATACACGTTTAAACCATTTCGATCTCTACATATGTGCTGCATTTGGATTAAATTGAATTATGTTGTAGTTACATTTAACATTGGTCTATTAAAAACTACAAAAAAAAAAAAATCTAAAATGAAAATCGTGAATCATTTAAACAAACCTTTTTTGACATTATTGCACATCAATAAAAATATCACTCAAACACAACAAATTTGTAACGTAGCACTGCTTACCTGGAACTATTAGCAGGAAGTGCATTAAGTTCTAGGTAAAAATGCTTTGCTAACATCCACTGAACTTGCTCTTACCTGTGTGGCCCTGTAGTTTCTGTACAATCTCCTTGGTCTGAAGGTTCCAGATATAGACCATGTTATCTTCTGAGCCGGAGACAATCCACTAAAAATAAAGAGCAAGCCTTTATCACCATTTCAGTTCACATGCTCATGTCGAAAAGTTTTAGCATGTCAAGAGAGGCAATGGATTAGAAAAGTGTAAAGCCAACAAACCTTTCCACCAGTAACAGAGAAATTAGCAAATATGCAGTACTTCTCGTTTTTATGACCGGTGTAAGTTTTCAGGCACTAAAAAAAAAGAAAATATTATTGTTATACACCGATTGAGAACTTTTTTATTATTAAAACAATGCACTAAACAAACTGAGAAACACTTACCTTTCCTTTGCTGTAGTCCCAAAGCTTCAAAGTACTAAAATATGAAGGGAATGCATGTGGATTAATAGAATTTACTTTAAAGTTTTCTTCTTTTTAAATAATACAATTAAATGTTGAAAATATCAAAATGTCCTTGACTTACTTGTCCAGAGTGGCAGCCAGGATGTACTTGCCATTGGGGGAGAACTTCACAAATGACACTGGTGGGTTGTCGTCATCTGATGAAAAATTGGAAATGTATACATTTTAATGATTGTTTATGCCTCTTTTAATGTCTTTCTTGTTACTTAGCGTACCTTAAAATTAACTGTGTTATACTAGTTTCTTATTAGCCTAAAGTTATTTATGCATATCAGATAAGAACAGATAAACACAAATGATTGCCATTTACACAACAAATCTAACCTTGTTTGTAGTCATTTTAAATGCTGATCAACTTACCAATAAGTGTTTTAAGGCACTGGCCTGATGCTGTGTCCCAGATACGACTGTTTAAGTCAGAAAGTGGGTATGATTGTTAGCTTTTTATTTCTGAAATATTTTTTCACTCTTGATTTTTTTTCATAGTCAAAGTTCACTCACCAAAGTCCATCATAACTGCTGGACACAATCAATGAGCCATCTCTGTTGAAATGAACCTAAAAAAACAAACAAACAACAACAAAAAAACAAATACACAATTATAATTCAAAGAAATCACTTAAATTGATGTCAGTTGTACACAATTGTGAATTGAATCATCCAGATGAAGTAAAAAAAAAAAAAAAAATAAAAAAATAAAAAAATAAAAAACACTAACCGCAGAGACAGGGTCTGAGTGTGCTGGAAGTGTCTTCAGACATTTCCCCGTTTTAACATCCCAAATCCTCACACTCTCGTCAAACTGCATTGGAGAGAAGCATTAACATGTATTAGGGGTACAATGTATGAAGTCATTAGCTATGTTTCCATCCACCTATTTTTATGCGCATATGCAAAATAACGGTTGATATAATAACAGTAAAAAACGGTTGATGGAAACGTCATGATGCGCATGAATTTTAAAAATGTGCATAAAAAAATAATGCGCATAACTGAGAAGGATAAACTTTTTATTCGATAAGAAAAGATATGCATAAACTACAGAGGAAACGCTTTTACTACACAAATTTCAGTATGCGCAATTTAAAAAGGTCATGTGATTTTGTTATAAGAGAACATGTGATAAAAATCAAAATCATGTGATTATCATGTGATAAAACCAAGCAGGCTGAGCACACTGTAAAACATTTGAAATTTAGTTTTGGTCATTCTAAAATGTCTTACCGTTTAATTATCAGTGTTATTATATTATTAATGATCTCCAGAATCAAGAGTGTCTGTGCTCTGTGTCTGACACCTTAAAACGCCACCCCGCGTTCACTGCATGTGAGAATTGTCTTCTGAGGCGCAAGTCATTAGATCAAGAAAAAATTGATGCAGCTTCTCCAACTGCAGCAAATTTAGTTTTTACTGTTGATATTTGGCAGCAGTTAATCAGGAAGTGTGTATTTTGTTGGCTTTGACTTGTTGGATGGAAACGCTGCTTTATTTGGACGTCTTTTATGCGACAATCCAGTTTTGCGCAAAAAGTTAATTTGCATTTTTGGATGAAAACAGCTCTTGATTACAATTTTCAAGAATAGAGAAACAAAGCTACAACTCTGAACTCAAAAGACAGTTTTCTATTGCAGAGAATGGTATTGTTTGGCGCAGCTTTTACATTTACATTTTTGATTTACACTGAAGTTTAAAACCAATTAATGTGGATATCTAAATTTGCGCATTGAAGTCATTGTTATTTATTGTTGGTCAGTTCGGCATCTCTGATACCAAATGTAAGGAACCTCTGGACCTCTTCTAATGACAAGGATACTACCATTTCAGGTGTTTTTTCTTTCAGTGGTATAAAATGATTTAGTCGTGCAAACTAATGATACAGCAGTGGCTGCTACTGACCATTTAAACAGTGTTTGGTGTCTCATGTCACAAATCCAATAATGCTGGTTAGGTTATGAGCATTCCTTCTGACCAAGTGATCAGCAATTTGTAAAATGCAAAGTTTTGGAAATGACACTGCTCACTTTAAACTTCATTTAAAGAGGCCGTTTCGTTCCAGGACGCAATTGTTTCTGTTCTGTATTTCTTTTCTTTCTCTGCTCTACTCTAGTAGGAGATAATCACCATCACCTATTGCTAATGATAAACTGCTCACTGTTTGGAGGATGAGAAGAGCAGTGGACATTTAAACAGCATGTCTCTACTAGAACAGTGTTTGTATGTATCTCTGTGTGTGTGTGTGTGTGTGTGTGTGTGTGTGTGGAGGCTTTTTTGTGAGGTTTAACACTTTTGATCTGCATTATCTGTTGATTAGGAGTTTTAATTTGTTTTAGAGTTTTAAAAGTTCTGCTTTGTTAATGCTGTTGTCAATCTTATGTAGTTTTTGCCTCAGAAACTCTTTTTGGTTGTGAGTTTACTTTTAATTGTTCAATAATACTTTATTGACTCTTTGTTTTGTTAATGTGGGATCGGTTAGTAGCAACATCAAGCAGCAAAACAAGCTGTTTTTAACGTCTAAAAATTAATGGAAGTAAATGAGACCAGAGAACTTGAGCTAAAAAGATTCCAATGGCTGCACTTGCTCGTACGTGAAGAATAAGGGGAATGTGACGTTTACATACATTTCAGTTGTAGAAAGTTATAGAAAATGAGTGCAGGTTTTTACTAAAACTAATATTGAATTTTTAAGTGCGGTTGTGTGTGTAAAACAATATAATTTTATACAAAAATGATGGTCCTTTTCTTTATAGAAGTTGTTACTCTACCCCGTTTGGAGCATTATTATGGAGGTTCTAAGTTATAACTAGGGCCAGACACAATCTGCGGACATTTTTAGCTATTTCTGCACAGAATTTAGTGAAAAATCTGCAGATTTATGCTGAATGATTTTGGGAGTATCATAACTAAAAACTAATATGAAATAAAAAATAATACCTTTTTAACTTGTATTTAAAATTTACAATGCAAATTCAATTAGATCCACTTAATTAGTAAACAAAGCAAGTCTCTTATGTAATGTATCTACTACAAGACAGAAAATATTACTTTACAAACTGTATTGTAAATAAATCAGAAGAACATTTTCACATTAGTCAATAATAATACTAATATTAATTTAAAAACCGAAAAAAATATAAATTCACATTAGTAAATAAATACTCAACGATGGGCTAAAAATCTGCGGAAATGTGCAGATTTTTGCGTGCACAGATTCCGTTTGGGCCTAGTTATAACTAACGAGGTTCAAACGATGAATAGATGACAGAGAAACTATGGTTTTGGGGAAAGACTGGTCACTAAATCAATCATTTTCCAAACGATGCATCGTACTATGATAGTTCAGCCACTAGTTATGTGGTTGTTTGGGAAACACACCCCTGAACATTACAGTGGAAAAGCACCTAAAAAGGTCTTCAAATCTTGCAGATTTATTTTTTTCCAAAAAAATTAAATGCAATTATCATGATGTTAAACTAAACATTTAGTATATAAAACAGATACATATAATTGAACATAAAACTAAATTAAATGAAGTAGAGCATTCAAGTACAAAAATAGATTAAAAATGTAAAGTAGCACAACAAATAAACCTTACAGACAGTGGGAGATTTTGACTTTAGTTATTTGATTCACAGCTGCAGTCAATTTACAGGTTTCTCACACCTTTTCCAACTTCAAAATCCAGCAATTTTTAAGGTGCATTTTTATGCTTTTCCAGCACCTAACAACCGCGGTAAATTACGTTTATATTTGCTGTATGTACTTTTCCACATTTAAATCTATAATTTGTGCTATTTTACAGAACACAATATAAAATTTAAATTGTTGAATACTTGAGCATAGATTTATTGGGATAGTTCACCCAAAAATGGCAAAAAAAAAAAAAAAAAAAGTTCAGTTATTGTACAAAGTATCTTTTTAAATTTACTTAATATTTGCATTCATCATCTTAATATTAGTAACCAGGTCTTGACATTGACTTTTTCCAACGTTACTAGTCACTCGCCACAATTTTGTTGTTGGGAAAATATTTTTATATGCAGAAATATGACTTTGACATGGTAAAATTGCTTGATTTAGATTTTGTAATTGTCCAAATGCCTTCTCATTCACTTCATGTTTTGTAAAAAAATTTAAATGTGTCACAACAAGCTAAAAATAGCTGTATACTATACTTTATATTTAACAAAACATCAAAATAATAAATAAATAAATAAACAAAGAAAAACCATTGACATTTAAAAAAATAATTTGTCATGTATCAGAAACATGCACATCTGTCGTCTTGAAATTGCAATTTCAATTTCAAGCAGGTTCAAACACTTTTTCCAAAACCCAAGCACTTTTCTGACCTTGAAAACACTATATTATAAGTCAAGCATTTTCCAGGAATTCCAGCACCCGTACAAACCCTGAATTTAAGACAGAATGCATGAACCCAATATACTAATACCCATGCATTCTCCCTCTCAACAGTTTACATTTACTTTTGCATTTTCACAGTCATAACTGACTGTGCTTATAAGGATATTAACTGAGATGGATATTTTGACATCTGTATCTGTCCGTGTAAGTGTGAGAAGATGCTTAATTAAAGCTTTTACAAACACTATTTTAGCCACAATACAATTGAATCGATGTAGAAACAGAATGAGAACACTTGGTGCACATGTCAAACTTGCCCATTCACGGTTGAACATACTTTAGTGTTCTGCTTCATTTCACACATAACTTATAAAAGCTGCAAGCCCAGGGATTTACACCTCTAATATTTATATATGCCTGAATTAAGAAAACGATAAAGTGAACAAACTTACAGATCCAGAGACGATGAGGTTGGACTGGGGGTTGAAGTTACAGCAGAACACATAATTGCTGTGTCCCTTCAGCGTCTTTAAACACTTCCCCTGGTGATGACAAAAACAAAATGAAACTGATGATAAAATTATACTGACCTACGAGAAAATAACTCTAACAGAATGCAAATAGCATCAGTATGCTCACTCTGCTTGCTTTCATCAGTTCAGGTTTTACATTTTTCTTTCGAATGTTCAGTTTTGCCTTAACTTACAGAGCTCACATCCCAGATCTTCAAAGTCTTGTCATCAGAAGCTGAGACCAGGAGGTTGGAGTCTGAAGACCAGGCTACATCTGAGATGCCCTGCAGGAGAAAGAAATCCAGTTCACAACAGCAATCTGGTACAGTAAAACATTACAGAGAAGCCAGATCTTTTGGGGAACTCAACTTTATTTATAGAACACTTTCAACACTATAACTGAATCCAAAGTGCTGTACAGACAAAGTTCAACTGAAAATAAAATAAGGCTAACAACTAAAAGCAAATGAAGATAACACTATAGAAGTGAAACAATAATGACAGAAATACCAACAAAACATACAAGGAACTCACAAGTTTGTGTCCAGATATCGTCTTCTCAAACTTGCCATCATATGCACCCCATATTTTGATCAGCTTATCAGCAGCTGGACGAGAGAGAGAAAAAAAATTACATCATGACTTTGTGTTGTTCACAAGACACTAGGACTTCCTTGAGGGTAGTTCAAGTGTAATAATTAATTAAATAAACGTTTAAAGCTGCAATCAAAATAAAAATAAAATTTTAAAATGACTTGGTCTGATTATCCCGCTGAAAAAGATTGCAATGCTGTAACATTCTGTGTATTCTCTGAAAAGCTGTGTGCTTATAGTCTGAGATGATATCAGGGTGAATGACTCATGAGTGCATTCAGCTCTCACGGTCGAATATGCATCGACAATGCAGCAACAGAGGCATGAAGGCACCATCCATTTAAACTTTCAGTTTCTGCAGTGAATTAATGGGAGTGGTGCGAATCTTCATAGTTTAGAACTGAAATATTGCAATGAGTATGTTTAATAACAATTGCAAAACGACAGACATTAATTCACATAGAAGCAAGTAAAATACGCAGGTAAAATGTACATAAATAAAAAAAAAAATAAAAAGCAACTAGCATTAAGTTAACTAAACCCAGTATACAATAATATTGTATACTGGAAATCTCACAGACTGATGAAAGGACAATTTGACTTTAAAAACAAATGTTTTATTTGACTTTTTAGACTTAAAAGTCTTAAATAACAGATGTATAAAAATGTGACACTTTTCATTTTCTGTTTTGAACCCCAATACTGTGATTTAAAAAAAAATCAGTTGAAAAAAAAAAAAAAAAAAAAGATTGCATTATATGTAAATCAATAAAAACGTATGCGTGTACTTACACTAACTGGCCACTTTATTAGGTACACCTTACTAGTACCGGGTTGGACCCCCCTTTTGCCTGTAGAACAGCCTTAATCCTTCATGGCATAGATTCAACAAGGTACTGGAAATATTCCTCAGAGATTTCAGTCTAAAATGACATGATGGCATCGTGCAGTTGCTGCAGATTTGTTTGCTGCATATCCATGATGCGAATCTCCCGTTCCACCACATCCCAAAGGTGCTTCATTGGATTAAGTTCTGGTGACTGTGGAGGCCATTTAAGTGCAGTGAACTCATTGTCATGTTCAAGAAATCGGTTTTAGATATTTTTTGGCTTTATGACATGGCGCGTTATCCTGATGGAAGTAGCCACCAGAAGATGGGTACACTGTGGTCATAAATGGATGGGCATGGTCAGTAACAGTACTCAGGTAGGCTGTGGCAGACACAATACTCAATTGGATACTAATGGACCCAAAGTGTGCAAAGAAAAAAATCCCTCAAATCAATACACTACCACCACCAGCCTAATCCATTGATACAAGACAGGATGGATCCATGCTTTTGTGTTGTTTACGCCAAATTCTGACCCCACCATCTGAATGTTGCAGCAGATATAGAGATTTGTCAGAGCAGGCAACGTTTTTCTAATCTTCTATTATCAAATTTTGGTGAGCTTGTGCCAATTGTTGCCTAAGTTTTCTAGTTCTTGGCTGACAGGAGTGATAGAGCTGTAATCGGGCCATAAAAGTTAGGCCCGATAGAGCCTGAGCCTGACTGAATTCGACCCGAGCCTAAGAGGTACATTTTGATTGACAGCTTTTTAAAAGCTTGAACCTGTTTATAGCCCTACATTATTCACGTGCACATGCACAAAGCTCTTTTGGCTTTTTTCATTAATGTGTCTTTTATATGCGTTTTAACCTAATTTATTCATAACAAACGTAGGCTGTAAGACACTTAGAAATTGGAATGCAAAGCCGGGATGCATAGTACTACTGATCTGGCAAATTTAGCATGTTTTGGGTAAGATTGTTTGTTCATCTTTCACCAGCCAAGAACATCAATTAAATTTTTTTATGACAGCGGTTTCAATGTAGAGAGTGACCTCGTCATCTTCCCTGTTACCGTAATACGCAGTGTATGAGCGACTGCTGAAATACCTTGGAGACTAGAATGAATGGTCTTTTTGAACTGGCAGCTGGCCTGATCGCAGTCAAAATCTCTTTTTGACGTCTCAGTCATCTTTTGTTTCACCATTGCAGGGATGGATTTTAATGTTGTAACAAACTATTTGATTTCTCGTTGGGTTCAGGCAGATATCTTCAGCTCTAAGGAGTGGTACATGGTAAGGTCTCCTGCTGCTGTAGCCCATCCGCCTCAAGATTGAACATCTTATGCATTCAGAGATGCTCTTCTGCATACCTCGGTTGTAACGAGTGGTCATTTTATTTACTGCTGCCTTTTTTTCAAATCAAACCAGTCTGGCCATTCTCCTCTGACCTTTGGCATCAACAAGGCATTTGCACCAACAGAACACCAGCTCACTGGATTATTTCTTTTATTGGCCATTCTCTGTAAATCCTAGAGATGGTTGTGCATGAAAATCCCAGTAGATCAGCAGTTTCTGACATACTCAGATCAGCCTGTCTGGCACCAACAACCATGCCACGTTCAAAGTCACCTTCCTCATTTGGATGCTCGGTTTGAACTGCAACAGATCGTCTTGACCATGTCTACATGCCTAAATGCATAGAGTTGCTGTCATGTGACCAACTGATTAAAAATTTGCATTAACGAGCAGTTAACCAGGTGTACATAATAAAGTAGCCAGTGAGTGGATAAGCAAGCGTTTCATTATATCCATGAAAGCATTTGAATGTATGTATATATATATACATATATATACATATATATATATATATATATATATATATATATATATATATATATATATATATATATATATATATATACATATATATATACATATATATATATATATATATATATATATATATATATACACACACACACACACACACACACACACACACACACACACATATACACATATATACATATATACACACACACACACTTCTTTTTTTCCATCCAGAAATAGCTTTTGAGAGAACTATGTTTATCAAAAAAAAAAAAATTGATGCCTTTGTTTATTCTATATGCTCTATTTCATATTAATGCAAGTGCTGTATTAATATAAGTACTTACACGAGCTGGCGAGCCACTCCCCACTTGGACTGAATTTAACTGAAGAAACTGCTTTTGTATGCCCAGCCAATGTGAACTTCAAGGTGTAGTTTGGCTTGACAGGTGCTGACTGAGATAGAGCAGAATACACATAAACAATGACATTGTCACAGATCATATAAAATTTAGATCCATAAAAAAAGCTGCTATACCATTTTTACCACAGTATATCCGAAGCACAATGTAAAAAACACCCAAAAGCAAGCAAAAAACTGGTCACAGACGGGCGTTTCCAGCAGTGTTTTTTTTCTTTACCTTACTCTGGCTGGCAGAGGCAGCTGATGCCGGCTGTGTTTTAGTAGCCTCCGTGTCTGGTTTCTTCTCCTCAGTTGCCATGGCGACCAAGTTGGAGAGAATGGGTTTACAGAGGCAAGTTCAACGTCAATCTGAATGGCAAAAGGAGAAGTACTAATGAGTGTTTAAGTGGTTTTACATGTATTTATTTAGCAGACGTCTATTCTAAAATAAAGCAAGCGATGCAGTTCTCACAAAACAGATGAATTTTAATTTAAGACTTCTAATTTGAATGACACAATAAATGCAGGAATTAGGTGTTACAATCAACATTTATGAAATACCTCAAGAATCCCGTTATAGTTTAAAAACATTTTATACCGACCTACAGGTAAAACTGAAAAGCACATGTTGGCTTCTTTAGGACACTTGTACGTGTCACATCCTTTTGTGATCATACATGGATCATTTTGTCCCAGTGCTCCAAGTATAATGGTTTCCTAAAATTGTGTGTGATATTAAAGGGATAGGTCAACCTAAAACAAAACTCATTCCCACAACCACCCAGAGGCTCTAAATTTCTTTCTTCTATTCAACAAATATTTTAAAGAATGCAGAGGAAAAAAGCGACCACTGTCTTCATCAGTTGAAAAAAAAATTACTATGGAAGTCAATGGACACTGCTTTTCTACATGTCTTATTTTTGTGTTCATCAGAAGGAAGAAAGTAAAGCAGGCTTGGAATGAGTGGAGGATGAGAAAAGAACGAGAAAATTCCTACTTTTGTGTGAAATATCACTTTAACGTTTGAGAAATTTGGATTTGACCCTAATTTCATTTCCTATATTAAATTGTTGATTTTTTGCATTAGAACTATCACTTTAAGATCACAGCTGTACATGATTATTGAGAAATTGCTGCTAGAAACGGCAACATTGCATATAGAGCATCAGGGGTATGCAAACATATATGTGTAATAGATTAGTAAGTTATAAACTAAAGGGTTTAGTTGATCTACTATTAATATACGATCAATAGAGAAAAAAAGGCAAACTACAAAAATGAAAACTAGAACAAGAGTTCAATATTATATTGTTTGGTCGATGACATGTTTGTTTGGAACTGAAACAAGTAAAAAAAAATAACCTGGATAAACACTAACACTAAAATGCAGGTACATTTTCCAAAGCTCTTGTCTGTGTCAGCGATAGATCTATGAAAACAGCAATACTGTTAGCTGCTAGGCTATCTGAGAGGCGCAGGGCCTCAGAGCAACCATGGACCACCTGCAACCCTTGAAATACACCCACATTTACACATTATCGTTTACAAACTCGCGGTTTTACTGCAATCGATCAGGTAAAACCCCCGTCCCTTCCCTCGTAAAATAGTTGAAGCACAGATTAATGGATGTCTTTTCTCGGCACACATGCCTCACTGTCTTTCTCCATACATTCAGACAACAAAAGCAGCAAGTAAAATCACTCACCGGCGGCTGTTAAGCGGACAATAAGAGCTGCTTTCTGCTTTTTGGAGGAGTCCACTGCCTGGTTTGAATAGAAATGTAATTATAAATCGCAAGAGAGGCTGTTTTGATCATGTAATGAGCTAGTGATCGAGCTAAATACGATGGTGGATGAGCGCCTCTCTACCGCAGGCTCAGGCGGTAATGTGGCAGTGACAACCACTGCGCACGCGCAAAACATTACGGCGGATCAAGAGGGACATTTTTTCAAAGGCGAGATGTATCGACTAAACACCGGTCACCATGTGGCAGCATCAGTTATTACATTTTCACTCTTTGATGTTTTTCTAACAATAATTTAATAATTATTTTTAAGTCATTTTGATAATTACAAATGTTATTATTATATCATTAAAATGAGCATACAATAACAGAAAAAGACATTTTATTTACGTATAAAAGTATAACTTAAAGGTGTACTTATTTAGTTCATAAATTGTTCTTTTGAGAAGGTACCGCACAAGTGACAGCTTTTGTACTTTTTGTGTATATCATTATATTATATTACAGGATAAAGACGAATGTGGTTATTGTTTGATTATTTTCAAAGTTTGTCTCCTTCTTTTTCCTTTATTATGTGTATGCTGCTTACAAATTATATGTGAATTATATGAAAACACGCTCTTTCCAAAATATGGAATTATACGAACTATATTGCTAAGTAACGCTGGGGTTTTATATATTTACTAATTGTTTAAAAGCACCCATGATGTTTTTCTCAATATTAAATATACTTATATAAATCTATATAAATTAGGTTTAGAATAGGGTTCCCTCCATGAGCACGATCACGGGGCATCTACAAGATTGAGAACTTGTGGTTTAATGCTGAACAGCAGATGGTTGAGCGCGCCAATGCGCATGCGCACAGCACTTCGCGTACCTCATCTCTGTGCTCCTGCCCAGCCTCCAAACAAGCGACGAGCCACTGGGATTGCCACACGGTAACTCCTTTCCTGAAGCCTTTGAGTAAGTAATCGTCTGCATTCTTGGTTTAACAACATCTTTTAGTGTAATATTTCGCATTTCGTGGCTATATTTCAATAGGGTCTGCGCTCAATCAGTGAATCACAGGAGAAGCCGTTAGCCAGTGGCTAGTTGTTTTCAACAAAGCGGCAATCTAACAAAGCCTCACTGAAATAACATGACTAATCTCATTCGTTTACCCACCAGGTCATTATCTGAACCTCTACTCCACCACAGCGTATCTCTGTGTATGATAGATTGACGCGAGTCAATAAAAAGAGGCTCGAGAAGGTGCAGAAACGCTAAGCGTGGATGCTAACTCTGTTAGCTGCGCGCCATCTTAATGTGAGTGATTGACTGTGTGCTAAAGCTAATCAGTTGCTCAGCTCTTGGCGCCTATTTCCCTATCATATATATTAATGAATTAAAATTTCAAACATAGGCTGGTGGAGGGCTAAATATGTGGTCTGGATGAATTTAAAGGCTTTGTTAAAAATAATTACATTTGAATTAATTACTAATCTGGTCGTGGTATATGTTTGCAGTCGCAGCACAGATAATTACATTTTTTTCAGCGTTCTATCTTGATATCCATACTGTAGTAGCTTGTTGCAAACCTGAGTTTTTCCATAATGTTTCATAAATATATTTTGAACGGAGACATTTGTTTTTGGTGGAAACTAACGAGTGGACCCGGTTCAGTGAGGCAGTGATTGTTTACGCGGTAATGCTGCGACTGCTGCTGTTTGTTTTCCCAAACAGCTACACACGTGCATAAACCAGCTAAAGTATGTTTAAAAGCGTAGTTGTAATCATTTTTACTTGTTTTTGAGGTGTTCCTAACCTGACCGTCTGTTTAAAAAAAGTCTCAGTTTTAATTTAATCGATGTTCATTTGTGTTCCGTAAGTGAATGATGACTGAGACTGTCATTTTGCCTGTTTTTGTGTTTCACAGAAGTAACTTTAAGTCATGTTGACTTGGCTTAGAAGAAATTATATCATGCCATAAATAATATTACATAATTACAGGGAAGAACTTAAAAATATGGTTTTAACTTCAGCAACCGAAAAGCATCATTATGTGGGTTTCCAACTCAGATTTAAAGTCTTGATGTACTAATATCATTGTTTCATGCACAGGGTTGATTTTAAGTGTTTTAGCAGTTTTTAAATTCTTATTTTTGTTCAAAATGCACTATATACAGAAGTCATAATAAAGGGGTTAAACTTTCACCAAACATGTCTAAAACTGTTAAACACCAATTCTTGGGACTATTTTGAAAAGCTTTTTGGTCTATTTCAAAAGTTTCCTGTGTGTGCTTCATGTATGGATGTGTGTGTTTGTTTGTGTGTGTGTAAAAGGAATTTTAAATGTCATGATTTTGATAGAACAGGCCATTGTTCTTTAATAGTTTAGGTTTCCTATTCCCTGTCACCTTCTTATAATTGGTCGCTCGCTGCTCCTTATTTTATTCTTTGATTAATAATTATTCTGTCACAAAGTATTACTAATTCTTCAGTTTTAATTGCATCATGCTTTTAAATGCATAGGTTAATTTTTTTTAAGCATGTTGTTATGACTCATTTGTTTTTTTTGTTTTTTGTTTTTTTTTTAGAGGTTGAAGGTTGGGTCCTGCAATGGGATATGGTCCCTCTCAGATGACTGAAGAGCTAAAAAAACAGAAAAGCATAAAAAAGGCACTCTGAAAATAAGTCTTTTGCAGAATAAAAAAACCTTTCCCATTAAGCAGTTTTTCCCCTCTTCACCAAAATGTCAGCTGTCACTTCCGCAACCCCAGAACCTCCTGCAGCCGCAAACCCTCCTCCTCCAGAGGTGATCAACCCTACCAAACCTGGCCGCAAGACTAACCAATTGCAGTACATGCAAAATGTTGTTGTCAAGACGCTGTGGAAGCACCAGTTTGCATGGCCATTTTACCAGCCAGTTGATGCTGTTAAGCTTGGCCTTCCGGTAAGTAAATGTGTGTTAGACATAATATAATTGTTTTAGCATCCATCATTTTCCATATTTAAACTAGCTTTTTTATCATGGAAGCCTGTATTTTGCGGTTGAAAAAATTAGGTTATTCTGGCTTTTTTAACTTAACAGTTATCAAACTCTCACAATTGCAAATGCACATCTCACAGTTTGTATTTATCTTGTCAGAACATAACATTTCTAAATTTTCAATTGCAAGTTAGCATCTGTTGTATCTTGCAATTTGAGATTATATGTTGCAAGTTTCAGTAAATTATTGCTTGCAATTGCATGTGTTTTTTTTTTTTTTGCTTTTTAAATTATTGTTTAATTTTTTAATAACCCCTCATCAGAGTTGTGATATGAGGAAGAAGGTCAGCTAGATGAACCCTATGGTTAGTTTTGTTGTTTGTGAGGATGAAACTTTTTGTTGAAAAACTTTACTTTTTATGTCTAGGATTATCACAAGATCATAAAGAACCCAATGGATATGGGCACCATCAAGAAAAGACTGGAGAGCGTTTACTACTACAGTGCAAGCGAGTGTATGCAGGATTTCAACACAATGTTCACAAACTGTTATATTTACAACAAGGTATGACTTGGCACAGACTAGTTTAAAACACAGTTTTGAGACAGAGGAAGCTTAGACAATTAATGTATATATTTTTATTTGTTTTCTTAGCCAACGGATGATATTGTGTTGATGGCACAAGCGTTAGAGAAGATCTTCCTTCAGAAAGTGGCCCTCATGCCCCAGGAAGAGGTTGAGCTGCTTCCACCTGCCCCGAAGGGCAAAGGGCGCAAACCAGCAGGGCCTGGTAAAATTGAAATCAGCTGAATGAAGAATTAATTATAACATCCTATATTCATGCATAATAAATAATATTATTTTCCTCCTAATTATTTAAATGCAGGTCAGCAAGATGGAGCCGTCTCCACTGGCTCACCCACATCAGTTTTTCCAGGTGCCACATCGCCGAGTTCACAAACAGCAGTAGTATCTCCAGCTCCAGTGCCCGCTATCACTCCTAGCATACCAGCTGTACAGAACACAACTGCTGCCGCTGTGATACCCAGCATGCCTCCATCACAACCCACGGTTAAAGTAAGTCACATGACTTCTCTGGACGTCACATGACATATTTAGTGTCGTTGCCTCACCACCGGCTTTGTGTTTCCCCATTTGTGGTTTTTTGGTTTTCCTAGAAGAAAGGGGTAAAGAGGAAAGCAGACACAACCACCCCTACTACCTCTGCTATCACCGCGAGCAGAAGCCAATCACCCACCCCAATTTTAGAAGGCAAGCAGAGCAAGGTGGCAGCCCGGCGAGAGAGCACCGGTCGCCCAATTAAACCACCTAAAAAGGATTTTGAGGATGGTGAACTAGGCGTGCATGGTGGCAAAAAGGGCAGACTTTCAGAACAGCTTAAGTACTGCGATGTCATCCTTAAAGAAATGCTGTCAAAAAAACATGCTGCGTACGCTTGGCCATTTTACAAACCTGTTGATGCAGAGGCTCTCGAGCTGCATGACTACCATGATATAATCAAACACCCCATGGACTTAAGCACAGTAAAAGTATGTTGAGTTTGGACACTTAGCTGTTATAATGCCTTCAGTTTTACAAGGTAATATTCATGTTTATTTTCTTGCCTGCTTACAGAAAAAAATGGATAGTCGAGAGTACCAGGATGCTCAGACTTTTGCTGCAGATGTGCGATTAATGTTCTCAAATTGTTACAAGTACAACCCACCTGATCATGAGGTGGTTGCTATGGCCAGAAAACTGCAGGTGAGTCGTTGTTGTATTGCCTTCTCCATTTGACAATTACGTTCCCTTTGTTTAAATCAAAACTCTTATTAGAATATAGTGACGTTTTGCTTGTTATTCTTTCCAGGATGTGTTTGAAATGCGATTTGCAAAGATGCCTGATGAGCCAGTGGAGGTTCCTGGGGCAGGTGGTGTAGGTGGGGCCGGTGTGGTCAGTAAGAGTACTGTCAGCAGTGAGAGCAGTGGCGACTCCTCCACCTCTGACAGCTCCGACTCTGAGGAGGAGAGGGCCACCCGGCTTGCCGAGCTGCAGGAACAGGTGGGTGCGGAACAGGTGGGTTTCAAAACAAGGACCAAGTTCCTTTATCCTCTCCAGGCTCAGAGATGTTCTCAGGCCACATGAAATGTC